TGTCTGTCACGAATGCCTAGATTACTGTTATCCATTCGTTCTTTTACAGTAATATAAAAACGACAAGCTGGAAAAAAGGCTTGATGTTTAACTGAACCAGTGAAACCAAGATGCAGACGTAGGTGTTCAAAATAATACGTTCCTATCTGACTAATGCTCTGGTTCCAGTTGTGAAATTATTGGCTTAAGGCGTATGTTGTTTCAATTTCGTTTCACTGCTAGAAATGCCTAGCGGTGAAATTCGAAATCAGTCGAAAGACACTTTAATTCTGCAGCACTTTTTAGGAATTTGTATTTCACTATGGAGATCACACTTAGTTTCGGGTTTACGTCAAATATCGCTTAGTTCTTGTAATGTGTATTTTAGTGTCCAGCTGAAGCAAGATGACTTTTCGTTTTTAGTTCGATAATACAGATTTAAAATCAAGGGCGTTTCAGAAATCAATAGCTGGTCCAGCAACAGTTGATTTATTATATTTTATCCTATTTCTGCCTAATTCGATGACAGCTCGGCTTCAATGTCTTTTAACACAAATAATTAGACGCGAACCTACTCCATGGCAGAATAAAACATGCGCGGTAAGGTTATACCTCACATGCAATTCCTTAAACAACATTTTCTGTTGTTACTCATTATCTTAGTCTAAGTTAAGGCCTGGCATTATTAAATTAATATAGTTTTCAGAACTCATAATTTATATGACCCTGGCTGACAGGTTCGCAGTCAGAAACTTCACGCGCAAGTTCGAATCGAATCCTTCCGCTAGAAATCTTCCAATCCCCATGTTGTACCCCTCAAGTTAAACGAAATACTTTCATGCACTAAATGCGTTGTCTCCGTTGCTTTGACTCAAGCTACAGTTCGTCTGAATTCTAATGAGGACAATAAACTCAGAAGTAACTATTCATTCGCTTTTCATCCGGTGGCGCAGAAGGTTTCGAATTCTGACATGAAAAGTTTGAAACATTACATGCAAGCACATTCTGTCCTTGTAGTTTCTTTCGAAACTGATCAAAGCCGTCCAATTTCCTCGTTAAAAGGATACATACGCACACTCAGCAATCAGGACATCTTCTGACCACTGGAGGAACGAAATAAATGAAAGGAATGCATAAAACCTCCAAAGCAATGAGCGCCATTCAAATTGTCACTTATCAGGACTGATATCAGCGGATGTAGAAGTTAGCTCCATATACCACCTCAGCTTCATTCTACATAGAGAATTCAAAGCAAAATCACTAATCTGTTATTTCACTAAGCAAAACATGTCTTTACTATACCACGATAACGTCTTGATCGAATTCATGACAGATGTTAAACAGTAGGTTTTCTACCCTGAAAAATAGGCAATCAGGTATCACCCATACTGATGACATAGTCATTTTGGAAGTATTGCCATTTCAGCTGGACCACCTGCTCATCAACCGCAAATGGCATGCTCGTTACTCGAAACTTGCGTTATATGCGGCGCCTGCATCGAGTCGGATCATCATCTGGTCGTAGTCGAGTTTCGCCCAAAACTAGCCGTGTCGCATGGATCCTGACTGAATGAAACGCACCAGCTGCTCGATGACATGTTAAAGTATGACGAAACGGCGCGGTCTCTCTACCAGAAGGAGGAAGAGAGTTAATCTGATGTCATTGATAGTTCCT